TGTGAAAATAAAAATATTTTTGTTTTCTTTATTGATGGGTTCAGTGGTGCGCGCTGACAATTTTTTCGTTCGGTTGATGCTGATTGACTAATGGAAGCCGCAACTGTTGTTTTTGGGGATTTTTAAGAGTTCTGGGTAGATTTTATTGGCGTTGGAGATTACAGGGTATTTGTAAAATTTGACAAACGTGAGTGGTGTACGTGAAAAACAGGCGATCGATGCGGTGAGCCCGGATTTGCGACGAGTTAGTTTCTTTTAAATCCTCGATCAGGCCACATGATTATGCACGAAAAGCACTTTCTTGATAGTCTGTTATAATTCACCGACTCGAGCTTGAGAAAAGAAAAGGAGTAAAACGTTCGCCGGCGGTTAAATTTGAAACTACTTCTTGTGAAGACGATAATTCTTTGTAGTTAACTGCAACCGGTAGCAGAAGAAAGTAGGAATAGTCATTATTCATTCTTTGTATTGTGTGCGGACCTGGCAAAACCAGAAAACTGTTGCGAGTTCGTGTAGGAGTCTATAGAATTGTGAGTTTTCCTGAAGCAAATCAAATTTGCATAATAAAAATTTCGACGAGACATAAATCACCGGTTCAAGGTGTAGGTATACCTTTTCTATTAAATTATAGATTATAATATCGCCGAATTTATGGTTCAGCCACAATAAATTGTTAAATATATGGTGCTGCTTTCAGGCCTGTTGTTAGCGTGTCTTTAACATTGTAAACAAAAAAAACTTGTCTGGCACACAATTTGAGTTTTATCAGGTTTGTTTATTTTATTGCTGATTTCTTGACCATTATTCACATTTTAACACTACGTTGAATCGTGTTAACATGGATAAATTGTAAAAAAATAATATTACTAAGATTGCTGAACATATTTGCGATATTTTTCACAAAAAAAAACGTCCTCTTGAACAGAAAAACTGTTCGAAGAAAACAAATCCTTAAATGCTTAATCTCGTTATCAACATTTTTTATATACAGGGCATTTCAGTGAAAAGTAGCCACTTGAGTAGCACATCTGTTGCTTTATTTTGAGAACAATCCAAAAACAGTCTAATTTTTATTTTTAGAGAGATATATTTTGATATCAGATTTGACCTTGTCAGGTTTCCCCTTTGGCCCGGGCAGTCCCCCACACAAAAATTTGAAATGGGAAGAAATGTCGACTGACCCCTGATCTGAACGGTATTTTAATGCTTTATACGATTGCATAAATTGTATTGAGGACTGTTTTCTCTTTAAAAATCAGATTATTATTTTTGGAGTTTAAAATTAAAAAAAAATGTTTTATAGGATGTAACACTGTTGTGTAACTTATTATTTATAACTTACCTATTATTATTTTTTTAGTGCGTAGGCAAAATTTCCTGCGGCGAGAATTAACTTTTCGCATAGTATGCAGGTTTTACAAATAAATTTAATTTTTGTTTTCTAATTTTTCCATAAACATGAAGAAATCTGTGAAGTTCATAAACAATTCTGGATTTAAAAACAATTAAGGAATTTTATCTGCAGTATCAAAAAAAAATCAAATTAGCACTTTGAGTAACAGTTGCAGTACAATTGTTTTAATTTTGGCAAGGTGTTGTAAAACTGTACCAATTACGACATCTGGTATGTTTCAGTTTCTGTCTTCGTTCGACACACTCTATTTACGCAGGTAAAGAATGCTTGCATTTTAGAGGCAAAAATGATACCTGCGTAAATAAATCGTGTTCTTCTTTTAATCTGTAGCTGCCACTTGATTTTTTTAAGTATCTTGGGTTACTAAAATTTTGAAAAATTGTTTATTAATTTAGAAATGACGCCCACCCCATTTATATACTAAATCTATAATAAACGGGTTCCGTTAAATTTGATTTTTTTTTTAATTCATAGAAATTAGTTCATAGAAAACTGAAAACCGTAAGACGAATACGGAAACCGTCCCGGAGTTACCTCCCGTTAAAAATAAAAAAAAAACTGTTTTAAGTATTAATTCGGAAATGAAACTCGTCCCATATACATTTCTCTCTAAACGGGTGAATCAAGCTATAGGACTAAAAAACTTCGAGAAATCGAATCTAGACTTATGTCCTGCTATAATTTAAAAAATTGTTTACTAAATCGGAAATGACACCCGTCCCATATATATTTCTCGTTCCATATTAACCTGGTGGAGTATCTAATTTGAAAATCAGGGTCTAAGACTAGAAAACTTCGAGGAATGGAATGTTGAAAACCGTACAGAGAATACTTTAACCGTTCTGAATTAGGTTCCGTTAAATTTGATTTTTCTTTAATCATAAATAACACTCGTCCCACATATTATGTTCTCTCCATACTAAACGGGTAGAGTATCTGGTCTAGGACTAGAAATCTTTGAGGAATCAAATACTGAAAACCGTAAGACGGATACATAAACTGTTCTGGAATTATGTTCCGTTAAATTTATTTATTTATTTATAATTCATATATAATACTCTTCCCACATAATATATTGTTCTCTCCGTACTAAACGGGTTGAGCATCCCCTCTGAAAATCAGGCTCGAGAACTAGAAAACCTCGAGGAACCGAATGCTGGAAACTGGAAGGCACACCCATAAACCGTTCGGGAATTATGTTCCGTTAATTTTTTTTACTTCATAATTCACACCCGTCCCATATACTCCTATATTTTTCTCTCCATGCTAAACGAGTAAACTATCCGATTTGAAATTCACGGTCTAGGACTAGAAAACTTTGACGAATGAAACACTGAAAACCGTATGACGGATACATAAACTGTTCTGGAGTTATGTTCCGTTAAATTTGTTTCTTCTTTTTTTAATTCATAAATTACACCCATCCCATATATATTTCTCTTTCCATACTAAACGGGTGAAGTATTCGATTTGAAAATTAAGGTTTTAGGCTAGAAAACTTCGAGGAATCGAATGTCGAAAACCGTAAATCACATACTTCAACCGTTCTGGAATTATGTTCCTTTAAATTTGTTTTTTCAAATTCTTGATAGTCTTCCCACATATATCAGTACTAAACGGGTTGAGTATCCGGTCTGAAAATCAGTCTCTGGGACTAGAAAACTTCAAGGAATCGGATGTTGAAAAGCTGAAGGCGCATGCATAAACCGTTCGGAAGTTATGTTCCGTTAAATTTGTTTTTTTTTTACTTCATAAATCACACCCGTCCCATACATAATTTTCTCTCCATAGTAAATGAGTAGTTTATTCGGTCTGAAACTCAGGTTCTAGAACACGAAAACTTCGAGGAATCGAATCCTGAAAACCACATGGCGGTTACTTGAACCGTACTGAAATTATGCCCCACTAAACTTAGACAAATTATTTCTTAATTCATGAATGACACCCGTGCCAAACGTACTAGTCTCTCCATATTTAACGGGTAAAGTATCGGATCTGAAAATCATCCCGTTAGATTAGAAAACTTCGAGCAATCCAATGTTGAACACCGTAAAGAGAATATTTCAATCCTTCTGGAGTAATGTTCCTTTTTATAAATGACACTCGTCCCATATATCTTGTTCTCTCTGTACTAAACGGGTAGAGTATCTGGTTTGAAAATCAAGCTCTGGGACTAGAAAACTTCAAGAAATAGAGTACTGAAAACAGCAAGACGGATACTTAAAGAGTTCTATGAACTTGTGTTACGCTAAATTACAAAAAAGAAATATTACTTCAGAAATCATATTCGTCCCATATACAGTCTACACATTTTTTAAAATTAGTTGTTACATGTTTCGAGAACTACTATTTCCGCTTTCAGTCAGAGAAACCATTACTTTAGTTTTGAGGGCTGAAGACGACTACAGTGATTTTCGAAACACGTTGTACTTTTTTTAATAAAAACTAATTTTAAAAAACTTGGAGACAGACTTCCATATTCATTAATTTTCAACCTCCAGTTAGAGAAATCGGATTTATAAATACTATTGATTCTTAAAATGTTTGTTGACTAGGGACAAAATAATTAACCGTTAAAGGGAGGTGGTAACTATAGTTAGGACTCATATAAACCATAAAAAACTATTTTAACTATACACCAAATATCTTTTTAATTCCTAATTTTAATTTAAAGCCGTGTTATTTAAAATTTTTTAGGTTGGGGGCCAATAATATCACACTCACTGAACTACTGTGTATATGCGCTCCTGGATACACCTTACTTACTAAAATAGAAAAAAAGTCAAAATCTGAAGTCCTACTCCTTGTTGATTTTCAACTATTCCGAGTGTTCTGTGTTTTTGACGAAGAACACAAAATTTAGTGTCTTGTAAATGGAACGAACACCCTATATATTTTTGCACAATCTGGTTCCCCTGTAGTCTTGATCGCATTAGGTTATTTTTAAAATTTGTGTATCAATATTAAATAAAATAATTAGTTAAATATCCAAATGTATGCGCATTTTTTATGTCCATGAAACTGAAGTCGTTAGACAACAAACTTGAAATTCTCTTTCTTTATTGTTAGGCATTTGCTGTACTTAAATTGATAGTTTCCACCAACATGATATAGTAAGATTCAGTAATAGTGTCTTATTTTGAAATTAGATTAAATTTAACTCCTACCACGATAAAGTGCGTACCTCTGTTCATCTCCCCACAAAATATTGCACCAGAGATCTTAAAAATAACGTTTCCAACTTACAAGTTCCCTTAAAAGACAAAATAAACTCTAACAACTACATCCCGCTAGTGTCTGGCATTCATGACACAAATCGGCAAAAACGTATCTTCCTCCAACTCCTACTAAATAATGAACTACTCGCCTTTGTTCCTTCACAACAGTTCGTTAATGTCAAAGCTTTCCGGCTTATTACAGCAAATTACTGCAAACTGTCAATTAGCCGTTCCGCGAGCATACATTGACATTGCAAGATAATAACCACCGCGTCTCGTTTTCCGGCAACCTCCGCTCAGAAAAACCCCCGGAGAAATCCATCGCCAGCACATTCCCCAATCCCACCCCTCAAAACCCAACCACTTACAAGCAACGTCGATGGTGGCCGACTGACTCCTGATGCTGCCTCTGCCGCTCCACGCGTAGCACTCGCACTTGAACTTCTCGTTGGCGAAGAACTCCTCCACCATGTCTCGGGTGACGTTCGCCTCGGCCTCCATCATTCGCACCCCGGTCTGCGGATCCACGAACTCGAACTTGGAATTGACGACGTTTTTTGCACCGTTGCATTTGAAATAGAGTTTGAGGGCGTGCGCGGCGCGACACTTAAGCGTAGCGGGACGGTTCTTGACCACGTAAGAGTCTTGAGGCTCCTCTAGAAAGATCGGCAAAGAGTCGGAGTTGAGCAGCAGCGACTCGTCGTGGTGGTCGGATGTGGACTTCGTGGGGGTGTTGTCGTCGAGGTAGGGTCCTTCTGAAACAAAGAAGTGCTTGAAGATGTGTGGAGAGGCTGAAACGTGCAAAAAACGCAAGACGGGATTGCGTCATTATGAACGATGTTTTTGGGGTTTAAGTGTTGGTCCTTTTCTTTAAAATTCTATAGTAATGAGGGTACCTACTTCGCTAGATACGTAAGTGTTTTTTTTTCAGACATAATTCAGTGATCAACGAATTTTTTTCTTTTCGTATTCTAATACTGGGTGTCCCTGAATTCATACACAATTGGTCACTTTTATGGCACAGTTTTGTTACATTTATTCTAATTCTGCCTTCGCGACCTTCGTATTCATCAGATTATCCATTTTATTTCGAAATCAAGAAATTTCAGAAAATGGGTTTAGATTTTTTTGTGACGGTATATTTTTTTAATTTTTTCAGTGTTCTGGTCTAGTCACAGCTGACAATAAACGAGATGTCGGCTTACAATCAACCGTCAAAACATTCTTGTGTTAGGAGGAAGATAAATCAAAAGAGGAGCGGGGTGGAATATAGGTGCTAACTAATGGAATTAAAACATACAACGTTTCAAGTAAAACGCTTCACTGAAATCTCAGAAGGATACCTACTATTATAAATAATTTAGAAAACCACATTACCGAATTCTGAAAAATTTTGGTTAAAAACTGAAAGTCTTCAAATTAATTTTAAAAATGGGTTCCTAGACATTTTGCTTTTTTTTCTTAATATTCGTGGTCTTCTTTTCGCAACAAGAAACTTAAACATGTTTAAAACAGGAAATATGGATTTTGCGATTACGCTCCGCCCCTGAGTCTGACAACGAATGGAAAATTCATCATGATTGAGATCCAGACGGATGGGTGGGGCTTATCTTTGGCTACATATAGTTTTCTTTCCGCAACACCATCACTGAAGAACATGTTTCACATGGTAATTCGTGTAAAAAAATACGGATTTTGCAATTATGCTCTGCCCCCCCTTGACTAAGATGAACAAAGAAAAATCGTCACAATTGAGACAGGGTGGGTGGGGCTTATGTTTTGCATTTTTTTCTTTTTAAAATGCATAGGTTTTTCTTCACAACAAGTAACTGAAAGCATGTTTAAAACGGTAAATTCTATCCCCTACACTTCTCTACAAATTTACCCTTTTGAATGTTTTCAAATTCTTGTCGTGAAAAGAAAATTACGTACATATATTAGGAAAAAAACAAAGCAAAATACAAACCCCGCCCACCCGCCCTCATTTTAATTGTGATAACGTTTTTATTCGTTGTGAGCTGAAGAGCGGAGTTTATTGCAAAATGCTTATTTCTCTCCAAGAAACTACGTTTTTAATAACATGTTGTTGAAAGGAAACTACATATGTTAAGAAAGAAATGTTAAAAAATATGCCCCACCCACCCGCCCCAATCTCAAATGTGGTAAATTTTTCATTCGTTGTCAGACCCAAAGGCGGAGCTTAATTGTAAAATCGATGTCTCCCGAAAAAAATTTACCGTTTTAAACGTTTTAAATATATTGTCCTGAAAATATTGTTGTGTATACCCAGAAAAAAGGTAAAATTTAAGCTCTGCCTACCCACCACGATTTCTACTGAAATTTTTAAAAACTGTTATATTTCATATTGGACAATTTTCCAAAAAATGAAGACGAAATAACTTCTAGAAATCAAAATGTATAAAAAAAAATGTTTAGTTAATTTTCGGAAGTTTTCGAAAAAAAATGATTGTTCAAAAATTTTATTTTGAAAAAATCGAGCTTTTGAAAAAGTTACCTATAAATCCATAATGTTCTGTGACCCTAAACACGCTATATTTTTGGAATCAGTAGGTACGTCAAGATCTATACCCCTGAATTTTTTGATAATTTTTAGACGACTTTTTCAAAAACAAAATCTTTTGCAAATTGCGACCTGTTTTCAACGATTTTCGAAATTTAATTGAATACATTCTCTTGTAGATTTCCAGCCGCAGAAGTCATTTCAGGCCTCATTTCTTCGATAGCTCCAACCGCCTTCCCAAAATTGCCCATTGAGATATCGCATTTTTTTTTAATTTCAAAAAGTTCACACCGAATATTCTGAAAATGTTGTTCCGCTTATATTCCGCGTTTTTTTTCTTAATATTCATAGTCTTCTTTTCGCAACAAGAAACTTAAAACATGAAAATTCATCACGATTGAAATCCAGGGTGGGGCTTATATTTGGCATTTCTTTTTTACTTACTATTTATAGTTTTCTTTGAGTAACACCATCACCGAACAACGTATTTCACATGGTAATTGGTGTAGAAAAATACGGATTTTGCAATTATTTAGACCATTTCATTCTCTGAACTTTTTTGGTCGTGAAAGGTGATTTTCAGGCCAAAATTGGTATTTATTTCAGTTTTAGAAAGTAGACTTAGTAAATAATTTTTGAGCGACCAAATCTCAGAAGAATGCCAGACTTATGAACCAATTAGGCCCATAACCGAATTCTGAAAAATTTGGTGAAAAATTGAAAGTCTTCAAAAACTTTAAAAATGAGTTCCTAATGTATCAGACATCGTTGAATCCATTTCTGAAATCAGTTACAAGATATATCCCCGAGTTCTACATGAAAATCGATTTTCCCAATTTGGGAAGTTTTCTTTTTTCAGTTTACAAGCTCGTAGTTCCGGTAAGACAAAACGTAACTCTTGAAATTTTAGACCATTTCAGTATTTGGATTTTTTTGGCCGTGACAGATGATTTTCAGACCAAAATCGGCATTTATTTCAGTTTTAGAAAGCTGTTAATTAAACAGTGTCATTTTCAGATAGGTGATGCAATGGAAAAAATTGAAAAAAAATCCGGATACTTAGTAAGTAATTTTTGAGCCCGGATTAATGTTTTAGAGGTTCCATTAATTAAAGCGACCAAATCCCAGAAGAATACGTGCCTGTATAAACCAATTAGGCACATGACCGAATTCTGAAAAATTTCCGCGGTGTCATTCATGTATGAAGGAAAATTTGACAAAAAACCGAAAGTTTTCAAAATTTTAAAAATGGGTTCCTAAATAATGAGACATCGTTGAATACATTTCTGAAATCAGGTACAAGACATATTCCCGGAATTCCACGTGAAAATCGATATCGAAAGTCTTCAAATAAACCTTAAAATTGGATTTCCAGTTAATTTGACATCACTGAATCCATTTTTGAAAACAATCACAAGATATCTCTACGAGTTGCACCTGAAAATCAGTTTTCTCAATTGAGGATTTTTTCCAGATTACAAGCTTACACTTTCGGAATTTCAGGTCATCTGATTCCTTGACTTTTTTTTGTGGTTTTCGGGCCAAAATTATCAATCTCCAAATTAAAGAAAATGGGACGATATAAATTTTTGTGCCTAATTTAGTTAGCTTCGACTGAATGTCAGGTTGGCCGAGTGGACTAAGACGCTAGATTTAAGTTCTTGAGTCATGAAAGTAGGTCTTTATGTTTTGAAGCAAATTATTGAAGAGGCTGACTAATTTTGATGTAACATGAAACTTTCTGCTGATTATATTAGTAGCAATAAACGTGTTCTTTGGACCAAATTTTATGCCAAAATTTTAGCGCCAAGAAAGCAGAATTTAACTTTCATGATTAATTATAATTATATTATACATTAAAAGTTTTATTTCCAAAGCTCTAAAAGTGATAAGCAAAAGCCCCGTCAGAAGGTATACATACTTTCCTCGTGAAACATAAATGCCTCTTTTCCTTGGAATGTAATACAAATTTATACTCATAAAATCACTTTCCTCAAAAAAATTATAGCAAGAAATACATACGAACTACATCAGCTTGTCAACAGCATTCCGAAAACATTATCTGTGCATCGCCGATAATAGAACTTCGCAATTTAAAATTCAATTCCGTTTAGGCTTTGTTCTGAAAATGAAATACAAACATTTACACAAACGGCGTCCAATGCATTTAAAACGGCCTTAAAAAGTTTAAGTCATTAACTATATTCGCATTAAAACTCAATAACTGACGAAAGGAATCGCCACTCCAGGAAGGCAAAACGAAATAAATAAGCGAGCGGCGAATTGAGTTGTCTTCGCGAAGATTTATTTCAGCTTTTCAGATTTCCCGATTATTATTAATGAACAAGATCTGTATGAGGGCCGAGACGGTGTGTTGCTCTTTTATGGCCTAATTGCTTTAATACTGCTGTAAAATGGCTTCGATTTCACGTGCGTTTAACATGATTGATACGGTGGCTTCGAACGTGGCCCTCCGGGTATAGAGAGAGGAGCGAAGTCGGGTCTCTGTAGCGAAGATGTTTTTGTAGACTGCTCTTCTTCCATCCAATTATATCGAGATAAAATATTTGCGGTTTGGCTGAAAAATCGGCGGTTTAAGTATGGGATGTGATGAGTAATGGCACTTCGAGCAACCGATGGTTAAGAGTTTCAGCAGCCATATATATAGGAAAATTAATGAGAGGGTTTTGAATGTGAAGAGAATTATGACCAAAAGTCGAGCGGATGATTTCGGTTTCATTCGTTAGGAGCCTACGAAAATATTTAAAAAAATATGATGTTTAGATCATGTCAGTCACACACGCACGGTATATGATACTCATACAGAGTGTCTCAACAATTTAGAGATATTACGAAGTTACTTTCATTGCAAAATATACAAGCATCATCCTTGTAGGTTTTTGTTGCCTGCCCACGTCCAAAATTACCATAAAAAAATTCCGAAAATTCCATAACCACCTTGTCGACATCCGCAACAAGCACCTTTGTTTGAATATTTATAACTGATGATAATAAAAAGTATATGACGATTGTCGCTGTAAAAACGCTGTCATTAAGATCGTTTTTTCCTCGTGAGAAATTTCGTAACCAAAATTTGAAGAATTTTATGAGAGCTCGCAATTTAAATTCTTCAAGAGTTGTTGACGTTTCAACTGTTTAGGTAGATTTACGCTACTATAAAACTATAAGTTGTGCAGCTGTGGGCTCATACTTTTCTAACAGGAAAATTATAGG